GTGGAAATTAATGCCTCCTTTTCTTCAGATAACAAATTTCTTTGGCAACAATGCTCTATTTGCTTATCTTTTGTTGAAAATGCTGCCTTTTTCAGTGAGTTATCTCATAGTTTTTTTTTCCCTTAGGTCTCTGAAATTCTTTTAACACTTTATAATAAACATCTTACCATTTCTCATCCCATTCCCAACTAGGTCATCCCAAAACCAAAGCTTTTATCACTCATGGTGGAATAAATGGGATCTATGAAGCTATTTACCATGGGGTCCCTATGGTGGGAATTCCCATATTTGGTGATCAGCCTGATAACATCGCTCACGTGAAGGCCAAAGGAGTAGCCGTGGATGTGGACTTGCACACAATGACAAGTGCAGATTTGCTCGAGGCTTTGAGAGTGGTTATTAATGATCCTTCGTGAGTAATCCTGCTTTTAAAGGCTTACCTGTCATTCATTATGTTATACATCATACCAAAAAATGTTAGAGACCATGCTTGTACACTTTTCCAGGGATCTTTTTCCACAATCTTAGGTCATTCATCATCTTGGTCGTGGAATAGTTCTAGAAATAATAGTCCATACAGCGTCAAATTTCCTTCTTGGAAAAGATAGATTTAGATTGACAATTGGTTAAGATTTTTCCCATGTCTTCACTTTATCTAACTTTTTTAAGAATATATTTATTTTCAATGTCCCCCCATATCTGTTAAATGCTATGCAACCAGCAAAGTTCATGTCACAACAAAAATTAATCTTTTCTGGCAACAAGCTTTTGGCTTGAATAACATATATCAGTTTTACCTACTGTGTTTAATGAAAACAAAACCAAAACATTCTAATTTCTATAAGTGTTTTTGTCTTCCAGTTATAAAGAGAATGCTATGAGGTTATCAAGAATTCACCATGATCAACCGGTAAAGCCACTGGATCGAGCAGTCTTCTGGATTGAGTTTGTCATGCGCCACAAGGGAGCCAAGCACCTGCGGGCAGCTGTCTACGACCTCACCTGGTTCCAGCACCACTCTTTGGATGTCATTGGGTTCCTGCTGGCCTGTGTGGCAACTGCTATATTCTTGGTCACAAAATGTTGTTTATTTTCCTGTCGAAAATTTGGTAAAACAGAAAAGAAGAAAAAGAGGGAATAGATCTTTCCAAATTTGACAAAGGCCTAAATGCAGCAATTCTGTTAATTCCTGCTGCAAATAATTTGAAAAGAATGTGTCATCTTCTTTTTTTTTATATTTTCCATTCTAATATTTTATACTAGTTATATAGACTAGAATTCAACAGATCATCAAGTTGTGATTGTTTCCCATTCATTCTTTTTCTTTCTCCTGGTTTCTTTACCCTCTTCTCTTACTTGGCTGACACGTGGACACTGATGATTCTAAAACGTCTTATTCCTGACATCCTTATTTTCATGATGTCACTAGCTTTTTAATTAAGTGATATGCTGACTCACAATATGCTGATTCCTGTGGAGTGCACAAATGTAAGCTGATTTCAATAAATGTAGAGAAGTCAAAAGAGTAAAATTCACAAGATGCAAACTATACAAATCCGGGAAGTATCCCTCAAGATTAATGTAAGTATTTCTTTTAGTGCATGTGTATGATTAAACTATAAATAAATTTATTTGTTGTGTTTAAAACTTTTTAAGTTTCTATACTGATGTATTTTGACTTTTAAAATTTTTATTGTAATCTAGAAAGAGTTGTTTATGTATGTTTTAAGTCTCATCTTTTCGCTGTAATTAAATGAAGCAATTGGCTAACATACTGTGACAGATGGGCAGCCATCCCTGGAGCTGAGCCTGTTAACACTTTTGGGCTTTTTTGATCATTTAAGCTGGAAACACTGCACATGAGACTACCTGCCACTCAAGAGCTATTGTTCATAAGATTCTTTTTCCTCAATGTGGCATCACATTTTGAGATCAGCTGCAAT